TTAAAGCTTAAAAATCCAGCGTGTGATGACATTAATTGACCTGCAAATGCCCATTTCATAGAGCTAAGTTGGACATAGCATGTAAACAGTAATCCAGACATCAGGAAACATGGACAGGAGTAAAAATTACCCCATAAATATAATTTTCATCATGCAGAACTATGTTTGTAAATTAACCATGATTTTAGGTTTTTGCACAGACGCATGTTGTCATAAATATTTCAATGTTTTATTAGAACATAAAGCTCCCAGTTACTGAAGTGGCCCAGCACACTCAGGGAATTTCCAGCCTTTTCAAAAAATCTCCTTTCCCTACATCACTGTGATTCCTGGGCATACTGAGTTAGCTTACTGTAGCTTCCTGCCCCCCCCCCCGCCCCCCCGCCCCCACCCCTTGCTCTTTTGAATACTCTAAACATGATACAAAAAAATTCTCAAAAAAGTTAAAAATAGAACTACCATATGACCCAGCAATCCCAATTCTGGGTATTTATCCAAAAGAATTAAATCAGGATCCCAAAGAAATGTCTGCGCTCCCAAGTTCATTGCAGCATTATGCACAATAGCCAAGATGTAGAAACAACCTAAGTTTCCACGAGGACAGATGAATGAATAAAGAAAATGTGGCATATACATACAGTGGAATATTACTTAGCCTTTAAAAAGAAGGAAATTCTGCAGTATGTGACAACATGGATGAACCTCAAGGACACTATGCTAAGTGAATAAGCTAGCCACCGAAGAAAAATATTTGCGTGATTCCATTTATGAGACATACCTAAGGGTTAAATACATAGAATCAAAGAGTGGAAGGATGGTGGCCAGGACCTGGGGGGAGAGGGTAATGGGTAGTTGCTAATCATTGGGCATAACATTTTAGTTAAGCAGGAAGAATAAATTCTAGAGATTTGGTGTACAGAATCTTACCTAATAATAGACAAACATGTAAATTGACCCTACCTCCACTAAGCCCATAGCCAATCAGGAGTGACTATGCAAATTAACCTGGCAAAGATTGCGGGTTAATTTGCATATGCAAGCATGGAGCAGCCATCGGGGCCAGGACACCTGCTATGAAGGGGAGGGAGCTACAGGAGCGGTGCTCTGGCTGGGAGCAAGGACTTGCCGGCTCCTTGGCGACAGGGAGTGAAGCCAGGGGAAGGAAGGTCTATTCTTGCACGAATATCATGCAGCTGGCCTCTAGTTGTAACTATAAGTAACAATATTGCATTGTACACTTAAAAGTTTTTTCAGAGGGGAGATCTCATGGTAAGTGTTATCACAATAAAGTAAAATATTTTTAAAAAGGAAAGAAATGGCAAAGGATATGAAATCATTTATGGAAGAAGAAATCTCAGTGGCCAATACACATAATAAATTGTCAACCATATTCATAATCATGGAACAATCAAATTTTAAAGATGAGTTGTTGTTTTTTTAACCAAGAGAGTGGCAATTTTGTAAAAATGAGAAAAAATGAAGATGATGGTGTCTTTGGCTACATTTTAGCTTAAAGACTTCACAGATGCTATAAAAAATAAAAAGGAAGCTATGTGTCAAGGACATTAAGATTAAATTTTTTTAAAAAGTCCCTCCTCTCACCTATATCACATATATTTTTACTCTCAATGGGCCCTAGATTTGAAGACAGAAATAGGAACAATTTGAAACATGGCGCTTGGGGAAGGGATACTATTCATTTTTCTATTCTCAGCAACTAGCCTTCTTTCTCATGCAAGAAGATGCTAAAATTATGTTGAAAAAAATGTATATCTGACAAGTTCTCTGAGCCAACATTTGTTTTTCAGATTTTACCTCATTACTCTTTATTATTCAGAAACCCAGAGAGCTGCTTTTCACACAAGCATAATTCTGTGTTAGAGTTTTCTAGAAGCACATACATGTTTAGGATAGGCACACTTTGTATGGAATGCCAGACAGGGGAGAAAGATACCCTTGATTTGTTATCAAGACAAAGTTACTCTGGAATGAAATCCATAGACGTCAATGCTGGACCTTTCAATTAAGACTTACCACAGCAATGACCACATACGGAATTGTATAGAGAAATGGAAACTGTTCCATTAAATGTGTGGGCGGCAGACGTGGTACTGTGGTCAGAGCCTCTGAATCTGGCCACCAGGTCAGTCGTAACCAGCTGGGAAGTCATTTACTATCACAGATCCTCAGTTTACTCTTCCTGAAAATGGGCATGTTACCTACCTCTTAGGATTAAATGGACTGGCAAGTAGCAAAGTATTTTCAATTGTCAAACTGTTATAAATTTCAATTTGTCAAATACACTTGGGTCTCACTATTATTTGTTAGGATATTTGTGGTTATTAAATGAGAAACATTCACCAGCTTCTCAAAACACTGCCTAAAACTGTGTACCTTTGTGAAAATCTCCATCTCACATGTAATATCAAGCCATGAGGACTGTATACGGGTGCCTTTGTTACAATTAAGAGAGGTAATTACTCCATTCTTTGTTTCTGAATCAACATGCTTTAGAAAAGGAGTAAAAAAAACAAACAACAAACAAAAAACCAACCAAGTCTTTCTTACTGCTCCAAACTATTCCTTTGGGACAAGGGAATTGAATTTTTGTAAGCCTGCCACCCTTTCTAAGGAGAGTGTTCCCATTTCAAAGGAGCTATTTTCTAGTGATGTGCAAAGTAAGATAAGAGCCATTTAGGAGTGGTGTGAAAATTAACAGGCCATACACCATTGAAAAATACAATGTTATTGCCAGGTAAGCCCAGCAGCCCACACATGACTGACTACAGTAGGACCAGGTCTCATCAAGCAGCAAAAAGCTCACTCTTCACCTCTACTTCAAAGAGCCAGCTACAGTAAGCAGAGACACGCTCAGGGCAGGGACTATTCGCTATTTCCAGTTGCTCCTAGTAGGGCACAGTGATACCACTGAAAAGCGGAAGTGAAGCAACAGGATGGGAACTGAAACACACCAGACAGATTCCAACTCCCCCAGGCATGCACCAAGCCAGCCAGGCCAGGCAGGCCAGCCGGGCCAGCCCACGGCCTGCAGAGCTGACCTGGCGAAGCGCTGTGCTGCTGGCAAGACCTTGATCCCGGCTTGCTCCAGCCTCCTGCGCTTTTGGATTTCAGCAGCAGCTTTTCCTTCGGACTCCGGAGCTAGTGCCGCCTCAGCCCCCTCTGGAGGATGCGGCTCCTTATGGCGGCCAGCGGGTAATTCTAACCCGCCATCTGAAGGCTTCCCATCCGGGTCCATTGGGCCAGCCGGGTCCTCTTCCCAGGGAGACCCCACTTCACTTGCCTCTTCCTCTATGGTTTCGGGGTAGCTAGTGAGTTGGACAATATGATTTACCAAACTAACAGCCTGGCCTGGGGAGCAGACCACATGTTGCCACCTACTCATTCTCATAGTACTTCCCGCTTAAAAAAAAAAGTCATCACATGCAGTACAATCCTGGCAATGCGACAAAAATTACATGTAGTCATTAATGAACACAATGCACTGTGCTCTCAATATTGATTAAGAGCTATTTCAAAATTGATCTTGAGTGGCGAAAACCCTTGCTGCTGGAATGGAAAAATTTGTGCGTTGTTCAATAATGAAAACGTTTAATAAAATGCTGGCTCAGTGGAAAATCATAGATAATAAAGGTAGACTATCAGAAATAGACATGCAATGATCAGGGTGGTTTTGCCGAAAATGGACTGTAAGTTTCTTTTGTTGGACTCTAAGGTTCTTAAAGGCAGGGACTCTAATTTACTATTGGGTTCCCAGTGCCTAAAAGGCAGTACCTTGTATGTAGTAGATGCTCAATAAATACTTGCCGAATAAATGAAAGAATGAAAACATAACCAGAGGTTAGGAAAAACACTGTTTCTTTAAAGAGCTGAGCAGTTCAATTTATCTTCCATTGAATAGGAGTTTCTATGTGTGATTCCGAAGCATGTTCCATGCATCCCTTACTACTTGAGCTTTATCTAGATAAGCATGCATCTCAATAAAAAATTCTTTTTGCATAAGGATAAGTCTTTCTGTACCTAATCTAACAGGAGTGGGAGTCAGGTGATCTTCACAGAAGGACATGGATGACAAATCTGTTCTCAAAGTTCTGTCTACAGGAGCAGTTTTTAAAAATCTGCTGCCAGACAGGTATTTGTTGAACACCTACTGTGTGCCAGGCACTGTTCTAGGTATCTTCATGAAGCTTATATTCTACTAGTGGCCCGGTGCACGAAATTTGTGCATGGACTGGGGGTTCCTTCAGCCCAGCCTGCACCCTCTCCAGTTGGGGCCCCCTTGGAGAATGTCCGTCTATCTGTTTAGGCCCAGTCCCAGGCCTAAACAGGCATTTGGACATTCTTCTTGCAATCTTGGACCGCTAGCTCCTAACCACTCACCTGCTTGCCTGCCTGATCGCCCGCAACTCCCCTCCCTTGCAGGCCTGATCTCCCCCTAACTGCCCTCCCCCACTGGCCATTTTGGTTCTAATTGGTCAGTTTCTAAGCCAGTCAGCATCTCTGGGCCTATCTCTGGGCTTGATCAGAGAGGCAGGACTGATCAGCAGCCCCTGAGGAGGCCTGGAGAGAAACAGAGCCAGACTGCTGGAGAAAGCCCGGAGAGAAAGAGAGAGGCAACAGCTGATCAACAGCTGCCACAGAGGCTGCTGATAAGACCCTGCCTCTCTCTGCAGGCCTCTCTCTGGGCCTGTTCTACAGTCCCCTGGGTAGTCAATGCTGGGTCTCAGCACCCACACCAGCAGCAGCCACAGCAACTCATAGCACTGACTGCAGGACTGACTTCCCATGTTCAGTCAAGCCTTTGGTCGGATGTTTCAGTCCCTGGGTTCTTATATATTAGGATTATCATGGTCTCTCTCCAAATGCAGATGCCCTGCCCACCTCCCTTTGTCATCTCATCCACGTTCTGAAACAGTTATCTGAGCTTCTTGGTGTGCAGGGGCTGCAGCTCCCACCTTCCTCGTGTTCCAGCCGGGCCTTACCTGAAGGGCCTCTCCCCACCCAGCGGGGAGGTGGCGGTGCTCCAGCTCTTCCGGTACTCCTCTCGCTCTGCCTTCTTCTTCCTCAGGGGCGCGGGGACGTAGGCCGTCTGGTTGCTTTTGTTCGGGAGGTACTGGTTAAAAGGCACTGCTGATTTCGGCTCACCGTGAGAAGTCCGCCTGGCAGACATGTCATCCTTCTTCACATCCGGCAGCTTCCGATGCGGCAGGTCAGATTCGGAGTCGCTTCCTCTCCCTGGGAAGAGAGGATGGGTGCTGAGGCACGGGCTGGGCCGGGCCAGCAGGGACGTTCCCGACAATGGCAAGCATGCAGTATTAGGGACGTGGTTACAGCTGCAGGTTCTGGGGATTCCTTCCTTCAATTATTCACTTAACAGATCTAAAATGTCAGTCTAAATGAGTCTACCATGGGAAAAGCTCTCAACTTTAATCAGGGGGTGGAAAAAACCTCCAAATTAAAAAAAAAAATTCAAGGTAAAGAAACAGATGCATAGATACAGAGAACAGACTGACGGCTGTTGGAAGGGAGGGGTTTGAGGAGATAGTGAAAAAGGTGAAGGGATTAAGCAAAAACAACCCCCCCCCCCCAAAAAAAAAAAAAAAAAAAAAAAAAAAAAAACTCCTCATTGAATCAGACAACAATATAGTGATTACCAGGTGATGGGGGATGGGGGGTTAGGTAGGAGATGGTAAAGGGAGAATAAGCAGAGATGGAAGGAGATGACTTTGGGTGGTAAACATACAATGCAATATACAGATGATGTATTACAGAAGTATATACTTGAAACCTACATAATTTCATTAATCAATGTCTTCCCAATAAATTTAATAAAAATTTTAAAAACAGAGGTAAGACTAACTGTATCTGAGAATTACAATTAGCAACCTATTTGTAACAGCACTCTATGTCTGCTCAGATTCTGCACCTCTCAAAAGAAAAGCCAAATTAAGCAGTGGAGTGTTTCCTGAGCACCTGTTGTCCCATGTCTTACACTGCGCTAGATATTATGACAAGAATTATAAAGCATGCTGAAACCGGTTTGGCTCAGTGGATAGAGCGTCGGCCTGCGGATTGATAGGTCCCAGTTTTGATTCTGGTCAAGGGCATGTACCTCCGTTGAGGGCATATCCCCAGTAGGGGGTGTGCAGGAGGCAGCTGATCGATGTCTCTCTTGCATCGATGTTTCTCACTCTCTATCCCTCTACCTTCCTCTCAGTAAAAAAATCAATAAAAAAATATAAAAAAATTATAAAGCGTTTTGTCTTTGAGGTACTTTTAACCATGCCATTTAACAAGGAGATAATATTAGTTATAATTCAAGAGCACAGACATAAAGAAACAATCAGAATTCAGGAAAGTGGCCGATTGGATTATAACCAAGGGTATGCCTTTCAGGAAATAGTTGGAGTTATAATAAATACATATTCCTCTATATCGAAACCCTTTCTGATACCCATTGCTAGAGGGAATCTTTTTTTTTTTCCTGTGAACATTTTGGCCTGATGATCTATTCTTTTCTTTTGCACATTTTACTTTCCATCTTGCATTTTTGCAAACAGAGCTTTATATCATCCACAGTACTTATTTGCACACAATACTCTGATAAATAAATGAATTGGTTTGGTCTAAAGAGTGTTCTAGACAACGCAAAGGAATTTAATGTTGCCTACATCAGTCTTTCATAGCCCCGATATTTAATTATATTGTATCCTTGTTTCCTGAGTCTCATATCACTGGATTTCTAAGATCCACAGAGTGACACTGTCATTTAAACAAACACTACTATCAATATAGATAAAAGCCTAAGTGACCATTATGATTGAAAGACCAGAATGACTGGTTGACCAGTTGCCATGATGTGCACTGACCACCAGAGGGCAGATGCCTAATGCAGGAGCTGGTCCCTGGTGGTCAGTGTGCTCCCACAGCCAACCTCCCAGGGCTGGCCAACCCCTCGTGATTCCTCCCAAAGGCCTGCCAGCCCTGATCACCTCCATCAGATCCTCTCTCAGCCCTGATTGCTGGTCAGGCTGAGGGACCCCACCTGTGCATGAATTTGTGCACTGGGCCTCTAGTGTATAGATAACCACATTTTAATGCTGGTTGAAAACTTAATCAACGAGAGCATTATGAGGCTATTCAATTCCAAATAGATTACCGGTTTGCACTTGTGACAAGAGCCTTAAACTCATAAGTGAGAGAGGAAGCAACCTCGTAGAGCAGGGAGTGGAGAGGGTGGCAAGTCAGTTCCTCTTCACAGTGAGCTCTGCCCTCAGTGGCTCTGAGGTTCTGCACCTGTCACTTCACCCCTCTGAGCCTCAGTTTCCCAATGTGTAAAGTGAAGAAAATAACACCATCTGGCCGAAACCGGTTTGGCTCAGTGGTAGAGCATCGGTCTGCGGACTGAAAGGTCCCAGGTTCGATTCCAGTCAGGGGTATGTACCCTGGTTGCAGGCACATCCCCGGTAGGGGTGTGCAAGAGGCAGCTGGTCAATGTTTCTCTCTCATCGACGTTTCTAGCTCTCTACCCCTCTCTCCTCCTCTCTGAAAAAATCAATAAAATATATTTAAAAAAATAACACCACCTGCTTCCTAGGGCTTTCGGGAGGGGATCACATACACATAGAATTACCGGCAGAGTGCTGACTACTCTTTATGCCCTGACAGTCCTGGGTCTGTCAGTGATGAGCCGTGGACTCCTAGGCTCGTCTCTAACACACTTGACTGTCTTCTTTTATAAAACAGGAATGAAATGATTTTCCCTGGAGATGAAATGATTTAATGGCTTTTAAAAGACTATAAAAGTTAAAAGCACTGACCATAAACAAGTGTTCATTGTAGCAGATAAAATATTCGGTGTATGAATGATTCATGCCACTTGCTCTCCATCTTTCTTCAAAAGGCTTTGACTGTTTCATTACTTGCTGGCTTTTAATCTGTAACTTAGCTCCCTTCCCACCCTAAGTCTTTTATCAAGTTCTGCATATCTGTCTCAGGGTCATAATAAAATGGTAAGAGCCCTGTGAATTGCTTTACAAACAAACACTTTACCAAGCTCTGAGGTTTGTTTCCCCATTGACAAAAGAGGAAACTGAGGCTCAGAAGAGCCAAGAGGGCCCTCTCTCTCTCTCTGGCTGGGTAGTGATAGACAGGGACTCCAATTTCTGTTTTCAAGATACCAGCCCAAAGTTCCTTCTTTGGGACATATTTCTCTTTGGAAATGTCCTCTGCTTAAAGCATCTGACTGGGAGAGCACTGCACCTTTGTTAACTAAATGAAAAAAAAGACAAATGATTTTTCGATCATAATGGATTAGAATTGTCTCAATTCTAAAATTCTATAATCTATGAATCTCATGTGTGTATAATATCTAATTTATAGATTATCTATAATATATTGAATAAATGTCTCAAAATAGGTTGTTTATGTGAATCGACAGATCGTTGACATTAACAGATCACCCTTTTTATTTATTAAAAATATTAAAACAATTTTTTTTGCCCTAGCAGGTTTGGTTCAGTGGATAGAGTTTGGCCCATGGATTAAAGGGTCCCAGATTCAATTCTGGTCAAGGGCACATACCTTGGTTGCAGGCTTGATCCCTGGTCCTAGTCGGGGTGCATACGGGAGTCAACCAATCGATGTGTCTCTCTCACAGTGCTGATGTTTCTCTCTGTGTGTCTCCCTCTCCTTTCTACTCTGTAAGGAGGAATGCTAGTGAAGGTCAGGGAGGAATGAGCACTTAACTAGCAAGACAGAGTGACTGAACGGACTCTGGGGACCCACAGCATCTCTACCAGATATCTCTTGAGTCCAACTATAGGATCCTGGCATCTCTAATGGGTGTTGCCCTTGACTGTCCCTGCTGAATGGGTTAGTGGGCCTCAATAGTAATAAAACAAAAGCTCGCCATATTGGCCCAATATGGAATTGGATAATTTTATAGTTAGGTTTCCCCTAATAGATTATGAGTCCTCGGAAATAAATTTTCAAGACTTAAAAAAATACTTTTTCTAAATCTGAAAGCGTTTATTAGGACGAGCAATCTTCTTGATCAGCATCATTTAAAAAAAATACCATAAACTCCAAGGAAATATAATATCTACTTGGACACAGAATTACACTAATTTTTTAAGGCACATAAAAATGGGTGCTTTGCTTTAAAAACCTCATTAGGTCTTGATTAGTTTACAAGAACATAAGCCCGAAGGTATCAGGCTGATTAATGAAATGTGTGTGTAAGATGCTCTTTCATGGATGGTGTTTTGTGAAGCTCAATTTCATGTTAGTCTTTAGATGGAAAAAAAATTATAAAAGGGCTCCAGCTTATCAATCTTAATTGTTGCTTACTAAATTGTGCCTCTGCACAACTACAATATGAGCAACCATCATTTCAAATCCCTTCAAGATGTAGCTTGTTATAAACTCTGATCCCCTGGAAGCTGGTGATGGGACAAAGGATCTGCATTACTGGTTATAAAGAACCAAGATGAGGAAAATAATAATTTGTTAACACAATCACAATAATACGGATAAAACAGTTTGGTTAAGATAGGTTTTGTAAAAGTCAATCTACCCTCTACTTACTTGAAAGCTCAATTGGATCATGCACTTGGGACTGAAACTTCTAAACCTGGAGGTGATACTTTAAGAGGCCATATACAATTTCAGAAATGTTTTCAGGCACCTCACAATGCACTGTGTGATTCTGTAGGAACCACACACTATGTGGCCCCGAGGCTAATCCATTTGCTGGGAAGTTTAAGGACTAAACAAAAGCTCAGATATTCTAGAATTGAAAAAAAATCTATTAGGCAAACAAAGAAGTGTGGGTAAATTAAGCTTAAGAGTATGTGATTTGGATTCACCGTTCCTGAAGCCTACATTACACTACTTACTGACAGTAATGCTTGTCACTCACCCATGATAGGAGGTTTATTTAAGCTCTGGAAGGTACATCTGCAAATACGGATAAGAAGGAGTAGCTCAGCCCCACAGTAGGACTAAGTGAGACACTTTGTGAGTATCTCATTATCTGTGCTGAGGACTAAATGAGACACTAATCATAACTCAACATGGGCACATTAAATACCCACCTATTTTAGTAACAGAATTTTATGGCTGAATCTTTTAGCTATAAAAGACAATGTTCATCTTGGAGAGTAGGCTTAAGTCTCTAGAAATATTAGCATCAAGAGATATTTTAAAAATACAAACAAAAAAATTTCCACCCGCTTTAATATCTGTCTGCACGTCTATACATGCAGAACTAATCCTCTGTCCCTTCCAAAAAAGCACCAAGGTGCAAAACACGAAGGCAAACAGCTTCTGGAAAGTGTGCACTGAATTGATACCAGGTTGCGTGACCATGCATTTTTGCAAAGAACAACGATCATTCCTTACAGGTGATATATCATCCACAGGATTCAAACCAAACCCAGCCTCTAGAAAAGGCAGTCTGGGTTGTGCCCTGTCCTATAAGGGCCGCCTACATCGCTCTCATCAACGGTTGGGTGTCATACCCCTCAAACAGGCCACCAAAACCGTGCCCATGAAAGTTCCCCAACCCCAGACGTCAGAACTTTGTTCGGTGTGTGTAGCATGCTCCCAGTTTGCTGGAAGCCGGTTCATTTTCACTTGCACCGTGCGGTGCTCACTCAAACATTTCCCTTCCCCGTGCCCGGAGGAAATAAACCCTTGGCACACTTTCTGAGCTAACGGTCTGCACAGCGTCTCGATTCACGGAGACCCAGGGAGGGATGATGTCACCCATTTTCCAACAGGAGATAGGCCCACTGACGCAATGCTCAAACGAACTGCTGGCAAAGCCCACCGAGATTCTAAGGCAAAAAAAAAAAACAACCTTCGCAGACTCTCCCTCTACCAGGTCAGAGTTACAGGTTCCTCCTCTGGGGGCCACCAGGCAGACCTTGTGTGCGTCTCATTCTAAGCTGTGCGGTTGGGGAAGGCCCCCACCTACCATCGCTGCTCCCCCTGAGGACTACATCTGGGGACGGCGTCTGCCGGGAGCGGGAGCCGAAGGAGTCCAGGCTGTCGAAGGAGTCATCGCGGCCGTGTCGAGGGGGGGACAGGGAGTCGCTGCGCTCGGAATCCCAGCAGTCGATGTAACCGCTGTCTCGGATACTCCGCTTAGGACTCTCGATGTCATCAGTCTCCTGCCCAGAAATGAAACATGAAAAGAAAACGACAGGCGTTACAGCAACGGACCTCGAGCCTTCCGTCCCAGGAAAACCAGTCTCCAGCGGCCTCCAGATGTTCCTGCCTCCAGCATCCCTAAGAACGGGTTATGACAACCGGTTAGCGAATGGATGATCATCTAACAAGCCCACATGTCATCCTTCCTCCCTTCCCGGCTGCGACTTTCCCGGCCAGAAAAATCACACACCCGAAGAAAGAAAAATCCTCAGGAACTCCTACTCCACAAGGTTAAAAAACAAAAAAACCCCAAAAGATCAAAGGAAAGGGAAATAAAAAAACATCATCACGTTCGAATCCACAAGAATACCATGACAGACAAAGACAGAAAAAAAAGGAAAGAAAACTAAAACCTGAACCTTGACCCGCCTTTCGGAATCCATAACCGCATGTCTGTTCTGGGCCCGAGCGCCCCGAGGTTAGCAATGCAATTGCTCCTGGGTATGCGACCTGGCAAAGGCACACAGTGTTTGTTGTTGCTGCAAGATCGGATCCGTATAAAATCCCGGAGAGGCGGGCTTCCCTCTCCTGCTACCTCGAAGGGAAATTCCTGCTCTGAAAGGGAGCTGTCTTTCTGAGGCAGAAAGTTAAAGAAAAAAAAAAAAAAGCGCTGAAAATATGCAAAATGCTTTTCCTGATGCCTCAGAAGAATCCAGGCATGCTCTTGCTCTCGGCCAGCTCCTGGCGCTGGGGGAGCGGAGAGCACTTGTGGCTGACCCACATGTTCAGAGCAGGGAGAACAATGGCTGTCTTTGACAGCCTGTGATTATAAATTCTTTTCAGCGCAAGCAGCACATACTAAAACACTGAGACTCCAGCAGGAGAAAGGTCAGTCAAAGCCATCCTCACCCGCCTACTATAATAAAAGCCTTGTTCCCGCCTGTGTCTTAGCATTAATTACAATAGTCCGGGCTGTCGAAAAACAAAAATAACTCTGGTCACTCAAAAGATAAACCCCGATTTAATTCCTCCCCCGATGGCCGCTTAACACCGGGGCTGTGGACGACATTGATCTCATCTGCAGAGACTGGAATGTCTCACTGTGGATTTCCTGGGGTGCTCAGGAAAGCCCCCTCCACATTCCTGAAGGGAAGGGGAAAAAAATATTCTCCATATCTGAGATTTTGGAAACTGTCTATACTGGCTCCTATGCTCACTGGAGTCAATGCCTTTTGTAGGAAGTGGCTTTGCCGGCTGCTTCAGTCAATTATATCCAGACCTTCTGACACACTCCCCAGTGGAGGCACTCAGCGGGGGTGGAGTGGCCGTAATTCACAGACAGGGCACACACAGATTCTGCGCAGGAGAAGGCAACGGGAGGGAGGAGAAGGGCAGGGCTGAGAGGAGCTCCCTGCAACCTCCACACCGAGGATCTGACCAGGGCCTCTGAAGAACAGGTTGTCTAAGCCCACAAACGCTCCAGGGGAAGGCAGACGGTCCAGCAATGGCACTGAAGGTAGTTTCCTTGCGGGTCAAAAATTAACCGGGACCTGAACAAAAGCCAGGTCTGCCAAGGAAGAACTCATGACCAACTTTTTCAGTATAGATCTGACTTGGATATGGTTTGCATTTAATTTCTTAAGAAGGGCAAATAATTATCTTGATTTATTTATTCACTGAGAAGAAGCCAAGTGCTTTAGGGTAAACATTGTTTTTATTCGATATTCACCATAGGTTTGGGGCTATGCTTGATGTTTTTTTATATGTTGTATTATTTAATCCTCCCATCCTCCCACCCCAGTGATGTGGTTAGCATTGTCCCCATTTTACAGACGAGAAAAATAAGAATCAGAGAGAATAAGTAATGTGGGGTCACACAGCAAAGCAAAGCTGTGATCCCAACACAACCCCTGTCTTTACATCCCAAGGTAAACCTAACCCCATTTGATCAACTTTGGTGTAGTAACAGCTGCCACCATCTACATTATGGCCTCTTCCAATTACTAGACACTACCTCCTTACTTTGTAGATGATGCTACTCTGGATAAAGTCCCTTCACTAAGTGCTGTTTATAACTATAAATATTGCAAGAGAGAGGAAGTTTGGGGCAGTTTGGCATAAGTTATCATCATGTCTTGGAAGCTTGACTGACTAGGTTTAAGTCAGATGTATGAAACTTAGCCAAGTTATTCTACCATGTCTACTCTCAGTTTTCTCATCTATAAAATGGAACTAACCTATCCCATAGGATAGCTTGGATGGTTAAATGTTACTGTATGCAAAGTATTCAGAAAACTGCCTGACCTATGCTAAGTGCTCAAAAGTGTTAGCTATGGTTATAATTACTAACATGTATTTATCTGTATATGTAAAGTAGCAATATATAAATCACATAAAACTTATAAATGTAGTTATATACATACTGAAACTCTCCTATCTCCTCCTTCATTTATATCCCATATTTAGATGCTTTGGTCTAATTTCCCAATAGGGAGGGCGGACACTTAGGGAGCTGAGCCACTCGTTACATCTAGAAATGACAAAATGTTATAACCTTCTTGGGGTAACATCGCAAAACTGGATTTTCAAGAAAATAGTACCAAAAAGTCTCTCCAAAAGGCTCACATGTTTCCCCCACCTTACTCTACAAACCAGAGAAGTGAAGAAAAAGTCAGCATGGCTCTTGGAAGCTCAGCTGCTTTCTCACAGCTAGTTGTGGGAAAGAAAAACAGGAAGACTGTCCTGTTTGTGACTGTGTAGAGAGCCAAGAGTAAAACCTTGGATCAAGTGAGAGCTGGAAGCTGGATAGCATGGCCAGTTTGAAAAGTGAAAACCATCCTTGGCCATGCTGGTCCTGTGGAACATTGAGGTGAAGCAAGAAGCTGGTTCTTCAGCCATACATGTAGTTGTAGATATCACCTAGATTAGTGGTTGACAAACTCATTAGTCAACAGAGCCAAATATCAACAGTACAAAGATTGAAATTTCTTTTGAAAGCCAAATTTTTTAAACTTAAACTTCTTCTAACGCTGTTTCTTCAAAATAGACTAGCCCAGGCCGTGGTATTTTGTGGAAGAGCCATACTCAAGGGGCCAAAGAGCCATCACATGTGGCTTGCGAGCAGCAGTTTGCAGACCACTGAGCTAGATGGATAATTGTATTTGATTCCATCATCACCTAGAATTAAGCTTTGGGGAAGGAGTAGTAGATAGCAAAGGCTAGAATAATTTAAGTTCACCTTTCTTGGGGTCTAGTTATGCCCTCTATGTCTTTCACCTAGGAGCCCAGCAGCACTCCAGGGAAGGGAGATAAGATGCCAATCTGTCCATTGTGCTAATTGCTAGTTGTTCCAGTAAAAGTGTGTTAACGAGTGGGGTGAGAACAACCAGTTTCCATGACAGTTTTGAATTATTTCACTCATCTGTTCTCTTCTTATTCCTTTCTGTCAGAGATAATGAGAACCAGCGAGTGTTTGGTAGATGACTGACTTATGGTATCTGAGAAACTCCAGATGCCTCTGTCTTACCACCCAACCTTTTCTTTTTCCTTTGTGATTTATAAGGTGGCTAACTCCTCTTCTGGAGGTTTTCAGGTTCTGATTTTTCAGCCTGATGACCCATCCCCGCCCATCACACTCTGGCTGGGGAGGTTATTCATTCCACGGATATTTGCTGAGTATCCTCTGCGCCCAGACACTCTCCTAGTGCTGGGGACACAACATTCTGAAAACCTGATAAACACCCCATCTTCATGAGCCTTATGTTTTAGTTGAAAGGTAAAAGATAAACGGGGGAAAAATAAATAAAAAGTTGGGAGTTGTCATTGAAAAATAAGGCAATTAAGGAAAGAGAAGTTGATAGTGGTGGTTTGCTGAGTGGAGGTCTGGGCTTCTCTATTGTGATCTCCATTATCCCCTTGTTCTGGTTAATACCCCCTGAAAAAGTAGTGGCGTAGACCAGTCCTGGTGTCCCTTGCCCCTGGTCACATGGCTAGTTCAGAATAAAGACCCACATTGGGTCAGAGTACACCCTTAGGAATTTTACAGCTGGGACTAGAGGGAAGAATTCCCTGCCTTTCTGGACTAGGAGCTAGAAGAGCATCTTGAATCATCAGGTGAGGAGCCATGGGTTGAAAATGATGGAGCAAAAAGATGGAAAGAGCCTGGGTCCTTGAAGATCACTAGCCCATACCAGCCCTGGACTGCTCATATCCAGACCTCATTTATGTGACTTCAGAATAAAATTCTATTTTACTAAAGCTAATGTTAGACTTTTCTGCATTTCCCATTTGAAAACAATCCTAATTAAGAAAATGAGATAATCTATATTCCAGATAAACTAATATTTCCAGGTACTGGGTAGACCTGTGGAGGTCAGGTCAGCTACTCTCTATGTAGAAACCATAGCTGGCCATTTTAGTCATGTCAGGCTTTGTCCAGTGATACTAACTATTCTCCCATGTCCTGTGACATTATCTACATTCATTAAAAAAAAGGCAACAACTGTTCACAATAACAGGCCATTACAAGGCAAGTGAAATAACCAATTATCTCAATAGAAAGCATAGCTAAGCTGAAGAAACCAATAACTGCTCAGATTGTAGAGGAGCTGGACTAGGGGTAAGAAATGGCAATAACAAGAAGAAACCAGATTCCAAGAGAATCTTCTAAGATCAATGGCAACCGAGGCAGAGCTTTTAAATATGTGGCTTAAAAGACATGACTCATATCATTATTCCATTCCAAATTGAATCTATCTATATAAAAGCCTAAGCGACCATCACAACCGAAGGAAAGACAAAACAGGATGCATGGGGCAACCAGGCCAGCGGGGGTTAGTGAGGGGCGACCAAATGACCAAACAGCAGGCTGCATGGGGCAACCAGGCTGGCGGGGGGGGGGCAGTTTGGGGCAATCAGGCTGGCAGGCAGAGGCAGTTAGGGGTCATCAGACTGACAGGGAGCCAGTTAGGAGTGACCAGGTTGGCAGGGGGGGCATTGAGGGGTGATTAGGCAGGCAGGCAGGTGAGCAGTTAGGAGCCAGTGGTCTAGAATTGTAAGAGAAATGTCCAACTGCTGGACATACCCTAAGGGGTCCTGAATTGGAGAGGGTGCAGGCTGGGCCTTCCCCATGCACAAATTTCATGCACCGGGCCTCTAGTATATATATATATTAGATTTCACAACTCCTGTCTGGGTCTGTACTGGATGGGCACTTTCTCTAACTGGAGAGTTAGATAAAAATAAATAAATAAATAATTAAAATTAAAATGAAAGAACAAATAAGAGCTAAGAAACAATGTATTGTGCTTAATGAAGTGGGTGTGTTTGTCTTATTTTGTAAAAGTAATTTAGCTTTAAAACGTTCTTTATATATATTACAACCAATATGAAGTATTATCCATTTATAAATATGTGAGCCAGACTGGCTCCAGGCAAATGAGAAGAACTGTGAGGGCTATAAGCTTTAATTCAAGGAAAGGAGACCGCATTGTTAGAAAGTGTAGGCCATTTCTTGCTTTCAGTATTAAAAGAAAAAAATTTTAAGGCACAGACTGTCCCTTAGTGAGGTCTCATTAGAGCAGTTAGTTTGCACGCTGGAGAAAAAAGAAGAGCAAAGCCTCAGTTGACTTGTGCCACAATGTGGACCTTTTCCAGAACCCGTGAATGCTGCTGATGACAAATGAGCCTCACCTATTCACTGAGGCCGGCTGGGTGGGCCTTCTCCCGGGTAACACTATATCCTAGCACTTTGAGTGAGTTCAGCTATACTGCTGAACCTTAAAAAGGAACCCACAGGCAGACACATATAAAACGTCCCACTGTCTCCTTGACAAATTCTTACCGTAGGTCTTTCCCATAATCAAAGAAAGCCTTAAATGTTGTCAACAGTGTTTTCTAAATGTCCAGCTCATTCAACTACAATGGCCATGCAAGGCACATCTTAGAAGAGACTGTGTCTAATTATCCAGAGCCTGTCCAGGGAGAATGCCCAGGCAAGAACTTGGCTGATGTTAACCTCACCCACACCAAGGGCCTGATGGACAAGCAAAATGACCTTTAGGACAAAAGTGCAGAACAAGTCTTCATTTTTGTATAATGCTGTATTTGTTTAATTCAGCCATTATTCCCCCTAGAAAACAAGCACTGAGCTCTTTGGCCCACAAAGTCATATATTGACCAATTGAATCTGCTCTTTTGGATTAAAGCTGGATGAGCTCAGATCTCCCATTCTCCAACGGGTATAAAAGTTAAGGTGAGCGTGGAATGCACGAGGGAAAGATGTCGTTGGTCAGGACATCACTGGTATGGTAAGTGGTTGTTTCCGTGAGTGCATGACATTGTTGGCCTGTTCCATTCCACTGCCCAGAACTATAAGGATCTTAAAAACAGGCACATGTGTTGTTTTCTGTAGAGGGCTGCCTGAGAAGGCACATAGACATCCTTTAAATTGTCAGCTGAGCCTGACTTTTATTATAGTAGCTTAAAAAACAAAAAAAAGGGTGAGATGTAGAGGGCCACCTGAGAAGACACATGGACATCCTTTAAATTGTCAGCTGAGCCCGAGGCACTGGCAGGGTCCATGTCCCGGTTACACTCCCCCCCCCCCCCCAAGAGGGCTGGGGGTGTTATTCAGTTTCTGACTTACCTTTGTCCAGGTGTCAGCAGGGGTGGGTCTAGATATGTAAACCCAGTAATGCTAGGGCCTAGTGAAGAATGCAAATAAGCTCCTTTGACTCTATAAAATAAACCTGTTGCGTGGTTCATGGTTCGGGTCGCTTGCTGCTTCTCCATCAGAGAGGATGGTGCCCACCTAGCGCCCAGCTTGATGAATCTATTCCTGCCTCTTGGTCTCTTTTAATTTCTTAATCCCCAGCTCCTCCACTCAGGAAACTGACTGTTTCCTTTTCCATGATGGAGATGGACACGGAAAACAGAGGAACAGCCCCCGCAGCTTTCCCACCTCGTCTGAACCTCTCGGGATAAAGAAGAAAAGCCGTTACCTTTCGCATCTGAGCCAGCAAGCCTTCGAACTCCTTCAAGTTCAGCGTCGTCCCGCTGTAGGATGCACTGCTATTTGCTGCCTTTCCCAGCCAGTAAATGGTAACTAACACCTGCGAGACAAAACCATGCACAAGAGCGGGAGAGTTTTTTCTCAAGAATTACTTTCAAATGAAGGAGTCAATGAAGCTCCACTAACAGGAAACCCACTGATTTATGAAAACTCCATCTATGAGGTAGCCATTAAATGTAAATCATTTCAAGAAGAACCTAATGCTATATTGGTCAACACAAACATGCTTCAGTAGTTAAAGTGAGACTCCAGTTTTAGAAAGAGTTCATCTATAAGACAGCAAGAAGGACAAATAATAATAAATCCTCATCATCCTCTAAAATTATTTTTGTATAATGAAATACTTAAATATTCAAAATTAGGAAGCAAAATTTTTCAGAAACGCTTGGCATTTGTACCTAGACAAGTAATGACTAGGTTGTCAGTTCCTTGTGAGAGAGGTTCTATCAAAGGCCATCCCTTCTAATTGTGGGCACAGAGGTTCTGCTACGATCAATGGCAAAAAATCCCAAAGAAGTGATGAAGGTGAATTAGTGGTTTCCAGCACAAGATCAATACAACATGTCTAACTAAAGTCAGAAGAAAACAATGTAAGAATATTATGTGCAGTCTTGGGTTACAGGTGGACTCCTAATAATCTGAAAAGAGAAATATTTAGCCTGGACAAGGTTATTGTCAATTAAGCTATCTTAGTGGTCATAGAGATTCAACATGCTTAAAAATCTTTAAGAATGTCTGTGAGTATTTAATGGTCTGAAGCTACAGCCCTAAGTCACTTTGTTCTGTTTTTCCAAAGAAACTGTCCATAAACGTAAATGCTCTTTACACCAATGGCCCCATAAAATCCAGCAGGGTTTGGCGGAAGATGAATCCTTAACATGGAATTATTGGGATCTGAAGCTTATGGAAAAGCTAAGGCCATTATTTCATTTTCCCATTTGAATTTATTGCCTCATCCAGGCTGGGAAGTACTTATTGTCCCTCTCTACTGGCTAGGCCAGAAAATGCATTGGATAATGTTATGGGTACATGGGTCCAGATGACAACAAGCCCCAAATAGAGTAACATGCCATCAATGCTTATCTATGATTTGGTTTTCTACCTCTGTGAAAAAATTTTACTTCAGGAAATCTTCAAAAGTTCCTGAAAGTTTTCTTCTTATTTTTAAAAATTGATTACTTACAAATGAATTTCCAGAGAACAGACAATTCCAAATGTCAGGACATTAACTAGGAACATAAGCTACTGTGACCTATAAGTAGGAGGCTATCCTGAAAGGTGTAATAGGAGAATAGAAAACAGAACTGTCTTGTGTTTGAGACGATATGTTCTCTGATTTGTTTAAAATTGTGTGATGGAAAGTGGCATGGAGCCCTAGTTTTATAGAAGAACAAAAAGAAGATAAGAATAAGATTGTCAATCAAATATCATAGCACCCTGGAAACTAAAAAAAGAAGGTGTCACAGCTTAGTTTTCTATTTTATATGCAGAAGGTCATTTCTTACATTACTCAATTTAATCTTAAAATAAGGGGAGGGTATGGAGGGATTAAGTAAAAAAAGAGAGAAAAAAAAGAGAAAGGACTCATGAACATGACAACAGTGTGGTGATTGCGGGGGTTAGGAAAGCAGGTGGAGGTGGAAGAGGGTATAAAAAATAAATGGTGATGTGAAGAAATAAAATAAAATAAAATAAAATAAAATAAAATGAGAGAGAGAGAGAGAGAGAGAGAGAGAGAGAGAGAGAGAGAGAAAGAGAGAAGTGATATGCTTGCCTTTTCAAGATCTAACTCCAAAAACTTGATTTTGGGAAATATTAATAAAAACTCAAAAGATTAGTAGGAGAAAAAAGTATAGGCCTATGTCAGTCAACACTACTCACATTGTGCTGATCTCTCCCTGAAACAATTTGCCCAACTGCTTAATTTAATAATCCCAACCATGCCAGCCAGCAGCAAGGAACTAACGTCGCTGCTGAGACACTGTCTTGTGTTTAAGAAACTGAATCACAACCAGAGCACAGGCTTTCATTTGTTCATTTCTGGATTGAGCAGTTCTTTAATTAAAAAGACCCCCACCCCAAACTACCATCTTTATTTCTATTATAGTCATTAATTATTCTATCAGAGACATGTATACTTGTTTTCTAGGACTCTTTCTGGAATAGCATAGGAGAGACACTGGATGTATGAATTAAATTTTACACTTGAACCATCAAAGTTCAGAAAGAGTAAGGTGGGAAGTGAAGTTAAAACACTTACATTTTTCAGTTTCCTACTATAATCAAGGCTCCTAATGAAGGAAAAGGAAGAAAAAATATGATCAGAACAGTAGTTTCTTCACTGGGATTTTTCTTTACAAACATACTTCTAAAATGTACCGTACTTGAATTAACTAATATAATAAAATCAAGAAATATACTATTATAAGGTCTATAATTATTATTTCAGGTACTAAGTAGAATTATTTAGAAAATGGAAGGTGGGCTTGAAGTTTCATAGTACACTATGAAAACATTAAGACTCTTTAACATTTGGAAAATAAAGAATTCCACTTAAACTCAAGACTGTTTATATTTGTACTAGAGGCCCGATGCACCTAATTCATGCAAGAGTAGGCCTTCCTTCCCCTGGCTGCCAGCACCGGCTTCCCTCTGGCACCCGGGACCCGGGCTTCCCTCACAGCCCAGCCTTCAATGGAAGGACAGAAGGATGTCCAGAAGGACATCCAGTCTAATTAGCATATCACACTTTTATTGTTATAGATCCTCCAAGTTTAATTGTTGAAGTAAAATTTTGCCTTGATTATACATCACTGTCAATTGGATATCTAACTGCACATTCAAATTTTTTTCATACAAGTACTTGCAACAAAGATCTAAAATCTTAATTAATAGACCCGAAAAGACATGTACAAGAGGCAATAAGATCCAAATATTTGTCCTTTTCACTTACGGAAGTAAATTAGAGTTGGGAATTAGCCACAAGCAAGAAAATATGTATATTATGTTTAACTATACACACGTACATTCTTAAATATACATAAATATTTATTCTCAAACTATAAACAAATAAGCTAGTTGGTGGAACTTTCTAAATATTCATACAGTGAAATATAAAAATTTCTCTAAAATTTTCCCAAAGTTTTTTTTTAGCATGTCAACAAATAAATACCAGGAAAAACAAATACTGTTTTTCCCCACAAATTGGGAGACAGGAGGGAGAATGTAATTCTATTGTATAAGCCATTCAAGAGCTCCTTCAAGTTTTTAGACTCCAGCCACTTCATTGCTGCATATTCTGATCCATAGTACATGTCAATGACTAGGTGCACAATTCTAAGTCCATTGAAGTTTGAGGAACTAGAAAACAAAGTAGTACTTACTAAAGATAAACCCATCTAGATTAAAAGAAGCATTGGTCCAATTTGGGTTCAATTAAGAGAATGTTTCCCTGTTCCCTCTTTTTAACAGAAAAAAAAAATGTTATGTCAGATATTTGCTAGGATTTTTTTTAATAGTGTAACAAGAGAAACAGATGAAAAAAAAATCTATAAAGGATTTTTTTGTATGAAGAACAAGTTAAGAACAGGGAACACACAACTTTTTCTGCATTGACAATGGAAGTTCCTTAATGAAAACTGTGACCCAGTTCTAAAAAAATCATGCTTGGAACATAGTAGGAGCTCACAGAATATCTGTTGTACGACTCCCACACGGCAAATAGTAATGTGAAAATGCTTCCAAATTTTGCAGGTATGCTGAAACCGGTTTGGCTCAATGGATAGAGCTAAATATTCAGGAGCAGTGGAAAGCCTTTCCTCATTTCCATCCAGTCACTCCGATCCCCTGCAATGATTCTTGCTGCCTGCCCTTTGGACTGTGCTTTCATTCCCCATCTAGGTTGTCTGGCATCCATTATAGGTAGATTACACATTCAGTAATCATTTGCAGGTTTTTCCTTTTTAGCCTACTCTAGTTACTTCTCAAAAAAAAAAAAAAAAAAAAAAAAAAAGAACCTAAAAAAATTACCTACCACAAAAACTCTAGAGTGGTGTTTTTTTTTTTAGAAAAAAAAAATAACAATTTCAGAAAAGCCTCAAAATGTCCTCCGTGGGATCTACCCCTATGACTTATCGCTTATGGCATTAATTGGTGTCAGTGGGGTGGTTCTCCTTCGTTGCTAATGTTCAGCTCAACTCTCAGAGGAAAAAGGAGAGAAATACAGCAGTTCCACTGGAATCCCCGAGAGCTATAAAGCCTGTGTCTGGTGCAAATGTCTCACGCACAGTGCCAAATTAACCAGCGCCATGTATGGAAAAGTCATAAGCAGGAAGCCCCGCTCCTCACTAAAACTAGAAATGGTTTTCTAGGTACTGTCAATGAATTTATGGCATAATCTTCATATAAAATTATTTCTGTTCTAAATTCAGTGAAATAAAACATTTTTCTCTGTAAGTATTCCAAGTTCAGGATCCTACCAGGCTTGCAGACTGCCCCTCCCACCACACTCAGCCTTGCTCAGTATCCTTTTACCACACTGGCTACTTTTCTTTGTTGTTAATCTTCACTTGAGGATATTTTTTCCATTGATTTTTAGGGAGAGTGGAAGGGAGGGGGAGAGACACAGAGAGAGAAACATCGATGTGAGAGAGGCATATTGATTGGTTGCCTCCCACATGTGCCCTGTCCGGGCCAGGGATACCCCAGATCAGTGATCGGCAAACTCATTAGTCAACAGAGCCAAATATCAATAGTACAATGATTGAAATTTCTTTTGAGAGACACATTTTTTTAAACTTAAACTGTATAAGTAGTACATTGTCATTAACTTAATTAAGGTACTCCTAAGCTGGCCTTTGCTAAAAACTCAAGGGGCCAAAGAGTTGCATGTGGCTCTTGAAATGCAGTTTGCTGACCACTGCCCCAGATCAAGCTTGCAAACCAGGAATGTGCCCTTGACCAGAATCAAACTCGTGAACTACCACTCTATCTACTGAGCCAAAATGACTAGGGCTGGCTACTTTGCTTTTTAAGCATCAAGTTGATTTCCTCTTCCCCAGCCTTTCCTCTACTCTCCATGCCTTACAGCCCTTTGCTTGGCTGGTTCTTGCTTCCCATTCATGTCTTAGCCCACAGGTGACATGCTGTCTCTTCAGAGAGGCTATTCTTGACTATATCTGGACTTATTACTATCTTTCTTCTTCTTCCTTCCCCTCCCTGTAGTTTTATTGCACTACAATTGACATATAACACTGTATATGTTTAAGGTTTACAACATAGTGATTTGATATATCCATTTGTGTAATAGTCACTCTCCTTTACATTATCTATTTTTTGCTCAGCACTTATTGCTTCTTGTAATTCTCTTTTTTATTTACTTAGTTATTTCTCATTTGTTGATACTGGGAATAAATTCCATGTGAACAGGAGGTATTCATCATTCCGGTTCTCTTGTGACTGGAAAGTATCTGACCCAGAATAGCTGCTCAGTAAAGACTGGTTAGATGAATGAGTGAAAACCGATAGTGTCATAGGAGAGCATGATGGAAAAGTATTGCCTAAAGAGAGTATGAATGCTCAAGTGACAAAAAATAAAATTAAATTAAAAAGGGGAGAAAATAGGTAGAAGAAAATATAAAAGGGAAGATAGACTGAAAGATCAGGTAAAGAAGCGAAGGGAAGCACAGGGAAGAGAAGAGGAGGAAAAGAAGCAGAGGGGAAGATAAAGAAAAGGACAGAGAAAAGAAGGGGAAGATGTAACAGTAACTGAGAAGGGACTATGTGTGTGTACAATTGGTCTAAGTGACTTTCCCTCTTTAGGTTGTTTTCTGTGCCTTTTGATAAAAGTCTCCTTTTTTCAGAAGTTGGTTAACTGTCTTCTCAGATCTGTACTGAAAAAAAATTAGCTAAAATTGTACCTGAGAAAACATCTGTCCAATTTCATTTTATAGATGAAAAGGTAGCCCAACCGTACCACTCAGTGGTTGAACATCGACCCATGAACCAGGGGCACATGGTTCAATCACTGGTCAGGTCATGTCACATGACTGGACTGTGGGCTTGATCCCCACTAGGAGGCATGCAGGAGGCAGCTGATCAATGATTCTCTCTTATCATTGATGTTGCCATCTCTTCCTCCCTCTCTCTTCCTTTCTCTGAAATCAATAAAAACTTTTTTTTTTTAAAGGAAAACCCTATTGAAACAAGGGAACTTGCCTAGGATTACAGAACTAGAAAGAAGCAGACGGAGGGCTAAACACCCAATTTTCTGATGCCCCCCGCCCCCTTTTTCCCCCCTGGTAACAGAAAAGGTGCTAAGAGTTCTGAATTTCCAAAACCAATCTCAGAATTCTCCTGGTTTAGTAACATTGATTTAAAGTAGCTCTAATAAATGAATAAATATGTCAAAGCGAACTTTCCCCCAAGCAATATGTGTGTGACTAATTATTATGATGTTGCACAGTTAATATTGTTTTTGGTCACTTGCCACCAGGTGAAAATATAAAATGTGAGATGAGGCAGAACCTGAAACAATTTCCTAAAATGAACAGTGATTTATAGAGGCTAGGTACAATAACAAATGGAGCATATTATGACTGAGATGAGGTTTATGGTGGTTTCCACATTCAAATATCATAATTTTTATTCTGTTATTTTTGTCCTTAACCAACATTTTCCTATGAGAAATATTAAAGAATGACACATTAACAACAGAGAAGTGATTTTTATGTAATCAATCATGGCTGAATCCCCCTTATTTCCCATCGCAAATAATAAAATCCAATATAATTTCCTAACTGGATTTCATTCAGTAGTTTCCATTTTCCCCCATCATTTAAAAAAAAAAAATCAATACTGTCAAATGGTATAAAATTAACAGCTCCGAATTTTGGCTTTTCTCCCCTTTTCTGTTCTTCTATGATAAAATAACCCAGAAGTGCAGCCAATCCACAGATTCTTCCGATGTAATTTAGGTTATTAATAAAGTCTATCCATGCCATATATTCTTTGACTAAAGTGAAAAATGTTTTATGTGAAATTTGTAGTCATAAGGACTTTTTTCTCATTAAGCTGGTGACAATCTATTTCTTTACAGAGAAACACATTGCCTTTTCTTTTACTTTGACATTCTTTCCCAAAAATTCTTTGGCCCAAACATGGCTCATTGAGTAGATACAGTCAACAACAGCTAAATGGCCAATGATCCATCTTCAAAGAATTTGATCATTGACACATATGAGAAAACAGTTACAAATGTAAAAGAAGAAGAGATTTCTCCATGATCTATTGTGCTCTTTGCATAATAAACAGAGTTGAGATCTGTTTATCAAGTTTGCAGTCTTCCAAGAGCCTATTCAAATGCCCAAATGGAGCCAATAAAAGCTTTTTTGTCGAATACACACAGATTCCGTGCATATTTCTCTCTTGCCTTCCCCTCCTTTAAGTTTCACCTAATATTTTTTTCTCCTTCTCTTTAACATTCTAATTCTGTAGGAGTGATACTTGAATTTTAAAAAATTCTATTTAATCAGAATGAAAGCTTATACATAGAGGGAAAGGTCAATGTATCTTGATTTAAAAGCCTGATTTTTTACCTTTATGTTTTTGTTTTATGAGGCATGCCCAATTCTCTGTCTCTTAAAGCTTAAAACATCATCACAAAACTACAAATCAAACCATAAACTGGTTTCCCTTAAACATAAATCGTGCACTACTTACTTTACTGCTACCCTGTTGGATGTATCCTGAAGGTCACTAGGGTCAAAAAGTTGAGATTCTTTAAGGCCGAGCTCTTTACAACCTCTCAAAAATAAGATGATATTGTCCTGGGAGGAAGAAAAGAAATTCAAGTCTGTATTATTTTATCTTATCTTTATGAACCAGCCCCTTCTCTTTAATAGTCCAAATTACTGGAAGGTCGGCAGTCGTGAAGGCAGCAAGAGTCAGGTCTAAATCCTGCCTTGCTGGATTAAAAAAAGAGTCATACTTTGTTAGGATATACTAGAGTAAGCAGACAAGTCAAACTTTTAAACCCACAGTCATGTCAAATTCATTTTTCCCCTTTACCTTATAAAACTGCAAGTAAAATATCATTGAAAATCAGAACCTAGCATCTTTTGGAGGAACCCTACCCAAATCCAGATATTCCCTATTGTAAAGTTTTGTCCATATCTTATTGCCTAGAATCTGGTTCAAAATTTATATTAAAAATTGGTTTTAGTGCCAGAGTGTCATCTTCAATAAGTGTTGTCTTTTAATTGATCTTCTAAAATACATTCTTTATCAGTTGGTTTTCACTGCTAATACCTTTTTGTGAACATAAATGAATTAAATGGGAAAAATCTAAACTTAACTGGGTAGATGGAAGGAGCAAGGAAAGCCTTTGAAAATAATGCAAAAGACCTTCCTAGTGAAAATGGCCTCTCACAGGTACAAATATACTTTGAACTGGCGGAGTGGCAGGTACCATTGACAATTAAGGAGGGTCTGGTCATCATCTGTTGGGAGTCATTAAAAATTAATAAATGGCTTTGGAAGGGATTGTAGTTGTGGGCCATGCTTTTGGTAGTCTGGGGTGTCAGCAGCAGGTTCACCGGGTTCTGTCCTCTTCCTGAAAGACTTCCAACGAGCTAGCTGGTCTTGTGAATGAGTGAAAGTTATAGGAGAGGAATGATAAAGGTTGGGTCCATAAGCCAGATCATGTGAATCCATCTGAACACTATAAGAAAGATGCTACAAAAATCTGAAATGATGGTGGTAGTTACCGAATCATGTATACACCCAAGTGCAGTTCAACAAAGCGAACAGAAAGCAGAGGTCTTCCCAACTATCCAGTGTGTAGGCAGGATTCTAAGATGACCCCCAAGAATCCCAGCCTCTAGTGTACATATCCTTATGGTCCCCTCCCCTTGAATGCCAATGGAACCATAAATGTCAGGAGCTATCCATCACTCTGTGGCTATGTTACTAACCAGTTGGCTTTGAGTTAATCAAAGGAAAGATCATCTGATTGGGTCTAACCTACTCAGGGGAGCTTTTAGAGGCAGGTAAAGTCAGGGTTCCTGGTGGCCATGTGTTTTAAAGCTGTAAGGAGATGCATTCTGTCAACAACCACCTGAGCTTGGAGAGGCTTGGATGAAGCTAAACTAGGACCTCAGCCTCCACCAGTACCATGATCTCAGCCCTGTGAGATCCTAAGCAGAGAACCCATCATGCCCTGTCCATACTTCTGACTGCAGAACCTAAGATGATAATTGGGTGTTGATTTCAATGGACGCTAAATTTGTAGTAATTTTCTATGAAGCAATAAAGAAGATTAATATACCTAGGCTCAAAACAACAAGGGCAATAACAATAAACAGCTAATATTTATTTAGCCCTTTTTATATGCTAAGCATTTTCCCAAGAGCTTTCATCCTCATTTACAGATGAGCGGTTGGAGGCACAGAACTATTAACTTGTCTAAGTTCATACCGCCAACAAAGGATGGAGATACAAAACAATATGGCATATATGAGGAACTCAAGCATAAAATCTGAGGTCAGCACCAAAGGAAGATGATGCTACAGAGTTGAGGGCTGCTCAAAGAGGGCCTTGAAAACCATGGAAAAGTCACAGAGGGGCTGGGATCTGAGAAATGAATGCCTGGATCTGCAGCAGAAGAAGATGGTTGGAGTGATAGAAAGGGTGAAGGAAAGACTTAAAAAGAACAAGATAGGAGACAGAGAAACCAATGAGGAGAGACCACAGCCTTACTTTCCGCCATGGCCCTTCCCAGAATGCGTTCTTTCTGGTGTCCCTGGATTTTTTTCAGCAGGCAAGATGGGCCATCAGTCACAAGACCTGTGTCATTCAGAAGGCCTCTTATAGACTAACAATGAGCTGGTCATAGACTGAAGTCATCTATACCTGACCAATCTCTTCTTCAATTACCTTGCACATTTTTAAATGATCAAATTTCTCCTTGGAGTTTTTCTATGTTTCCTCCCATATCCAAAGATTTATCTATGTTCAGGTAAGTTTTTTTTTTTTTTTTTTTTTTTTTTTTTTAGGGCATTCAACTGGTTGGATACCTATTTCTAGGGCATAGTTCTGGTTGGTCTGTAAGCTGTGAGGGCTTCCAGCATAGAGCAAAGCAAAGGGTGTGTCCTGGTACTCTCTAGGAATCATTTGCAAGCACAATAAGAGGACCAGACCTGGAACTACCATGTGGTTCCATAGGAAGCTCACGAGTGGGGCATCTCTTGTTCTCAAGAAAGGTGAGGAGGCACGTTTTCGCATGCATACCCAGATGCCCAGATGTATGTCTGAGCACCACGCTGTATTCAGCACGCAGACTGCAAGCACAAAAGCGCTGTGTTCCCAGCCAGGCTGACCAATTTGGGCTGGGAGATTTAAATAACTGCAGGTCTCCTTCCAACTTCTTGCTGCAACCTAATGACACTGGACGGGAGCCAAACCCCAGTCAGGAGAAAAGCCAGAAGGAAGAACCCTCCAGCCAAGAGCTAACGGGCCGCCACCGGAGCAGGCAGGAAGCACTGTGCCTTTAATTATATAAAATGCAACTCGCAAATTCCCAGCTGCCCTGCTCTTCACACGGCAATTTTTCCACATTTACAATTCCAAGCAAAACGCACATATTAGTGTTTTAGTTTCAGAAGCCAAGCGGTACAACAGCAGCTCATTTCCAAGGGAGAAATGGAAGACACTGATTTACGACAGTGACCACTCTTTCCAGCTCTTACTAATGCAATGTTATTACAAACCTATTATGATTTTGTAGGGCTTCAAAAGAAGTTCTTTAAGAGTTTAAAAAAAGTCAATGTCATGAAAAGTAAAGTTGGATATTAAAGACACATGATGACTGAACATGATCTATGAGTTTTGACTGGATCCTTGATCCAAAATGAAAAAGTAATTGAGGCTATAAAAGTCCAATTTAGATATGGCCTATGTGTTATATGATGTTTTGAATGAATATTAATTTTCTTAGACATGATGATGATGAGATTGTGGTTATATGAGAGGATGCCTCAACTGATTGATTGATTGACTGATTGATTTTAGAGAAAGAAGAAGAGGGAGAGAAGAGAGACATTGATTTGTCATTCCACCTATTTATGTACTCATTGGTTGCTTCTTATATATACATGACTTGACTGTAGATCTAACCTGTAACCTTGGCATATCGAGATGATGCTCCGACCAATTAAGCTAACCAGTCAAGGAGAATGCCTTTATTTTTAAGCAAGTATAGGAATTATTAGGGATGAGTTATCATAATGTCTGTAACATAATTTCAAATGGTTTATGGCAAAAAATGTATTTGTGTGCATGTAAATATATATAAGAGAGAGAGAGAATGAATGAATGTGGGCCCAACATGGAAAAGGAGATATAGCAAAAGATCAACAATTAGTGAATCTACATCAGAGATTGGGAAACATTTTCTGCAAAGGGCCAGATAGTAAGCATGGCTTTGTGGGCCTATGGTAGTCTCTGGCTGAGACTCACCTCTGTTTTGTAGCCAGACAATTTATAAATAAACGGGAGGGCCTGTACTCCCACTCACTTTATTGGGCCCAGAGTGGAGCCCACCGGCCTTGTTGTAGGTAAATGGTTATGCAGGCACACACCACGCCGTTCTTTGGACTTTTCTGTACATTTGAAATTTTTCAAAAAAAAATTTTGGAAAAAGTTTTTTACATTTGTAGAAATGTATTCAACTACATAGTTACGACTTCACTAGCAAAGCCAGTTTCATAAAATCCAAGGGAAAAACTCAGTCACCTCCGAGACAACTATTGCCAAGTCACTGAGGTAAATGTTTAAGTACTGCTGATGGAAAGTGACCATTTCTGGCTAACCGGGAAACACTGTAACACGAGTCTCCATCCAACACAGATGTGTAACGTACAGTTCCTAACAGAGTCCATTTTGTGCTAGGCTCATATGAATATATGGATTTATACTGCTGTATGTGTAACTAGCATGCATTAATTCCTCCTCCTTCTTGGCTCTGTGGTTTCCCATTTCATTAACCTGTGGGCCCGCAGTGTGTATGAAAATATTCCCCAGGGGCCCGGGATTGAGGTCTGGGCTTTCCACCCTCCACGGAAACTCTTCCCTGAATAAGTCCTTGTACATCTCACCCCAAAGACAAGATGCGGGAAGGCCCAGGAGGATCTTTATCTCCAGAATGTATCAGTGTCCTTAGCATATATCTCCAGAATGTAGCAGTGTCCTTAGCATATAGTGGGAACTTATTAAATACTTAAAATCAAGTAAGTACTAAGTTCTAAGTACTCAAAAGAATGAAAAAAAAAAAAAAAAACAACCAACAACAAAACAACCAATTCCTAATAGGTAAAAGAATAAGGACTTATAAAAAAAAAAGTCTCTTATCTTCAAGATTAATTTTCATGATCCACTAAGTAGCTGGAATAGTTCAAGATACATAGAAACAGAGGTGTAACTTTAGACAATGGAAGCAAGAGAAGAACAAATGTATCAAGGAACACAACATAACAGCTTTGGATCAGAAGGACTCTAGGTAGAGTCCCACCCAGCCTTATTCTTTAGTAGCTAAGTGACCTTGGGTATCGCTCCTAACCATTCTGAGCCTTAAATTTCTATTCTGGGAGGTGGGGGATGCCATAAACCTATCAGGACATCAGAATTACAGAAAATACGTAGTAGGAACACAGCCTAGTGCCTGGTACTTTCTGGGATACTCATATAGAAGTTATTATTATGACACTAAAGGCCCAGTGCACGAAATTCATGCAGGTGGAGAGGGGTCCTTCAGCCTGGCCTGTGCCCTCTT